TCGCTAGCGTCCGCGGTCGCGTTGCGGTACCAGCCAATTGAGTGATTCACTGGCCGCGACGCGACCGCAGACGCTAGCGAATCGCGCGATTCGCAAAGTCTGACATCGGCCATAGATGGAGCGTGACCACAGCTGTTTGGCAGCGAAGGAGAAATGTTTTAGCCTGGTCTTGCACTTTTTTTGCTGGCGATTTTTTCAAGTGCAGCTTTTTCTTCGTGAAGTGAGCTTATAAAATCGTTGTTTTTTTTTCTCGCCGAGTCAATGCATGGTTTGATGCAGGTCGGTTTTTGTTTACGAGACCTGTTGTGACCGTGTGAGCTAAATTCATCCCCTCAAGATGTCGTAGAACATTCACGTGTACACACGGAAATTTCGGTCAGTCATCGTTTAAAAGAAAAATTCCTGTAAAAAAAAAGATATGGGCAACGAGTAGTCGCTTTTATACTAGATTTCCTCTTTCGAATGAATGCTTAAGTACCTCTGGATGTTCGGACACAGCCGAGTGGGGTGAAGCTAAATCTGGTGCGACATTTATAATGCAACAACCTAATATTTTGTGGTTAGAGTGGAGAGGACTGCGAGTATGAAAACTGTGCCTGTTGTCGCCTGTCGAAAGTGCGCGACAATTGCTAGGGCCTTACAAAGTGAGCTAATGACGGCTAATGTGAGCTAATGGACGAGATACCTCGCGCACACCCATGACACGCAACGTGGATTACGACGTAGCGGCTAATTCAAATACGCGCGGGTTAGTGGAGCCATGGAGCAGGCAAGTTCAGACAACTCGTCTAGACACGCCCTCCCTCATTTCGAAAGAGCCCTCGTTTAAGGGCTCCATCCGTGGTTTGCTTTGCTTCCTTTTTCATTCTCAGACAACTCGGTCTACAATTCTGTCATCGATCGCTGATACCCCACCTATTTGGTCTGGGGTTTCACGGGTGGGGGCCACTTCTTACTTCCACCTTCATTCATTATTCTTGAGTGCACAACGACACTATTGAAGCTGTGCTGTTGATTATTTTCAAACTCAGAGCTGGGAGTTTACGGTATCTTTTGGAGGCAGTGGTCACTATGACTGGTGGGCATTGTGGCGTTCAATGAAGTCATTGAAGGTTACGGGGCAGCGGTCAACCAACGCGTGAGAGTCCAGACAGAAAAGCACATACTTTCTGCTTTCTAGGACTAAGCCTTTTGAAGGAAGGAAAGAAAGCAGAGATGCTGTAATAGTGTGCATATGCGAGAGTGCCCAGAGAACACTACAAAACGCTGAATCACCAAGCCTTTCGGTTGACCGCTGCCCTTAGGAAGGTCTGAATGGCATCGGTAAAGCAGACTCCTCAGCGCGCTGGGGGGAGGGGGTAGTGGTTTGGAATGGTTTGGAATAATTTTCAAATCCAAGCTCCTAAATTAGACTCACAAGTAGGAACTACACCGCTTGTGAAAGGGTTGGGTTCGTACCTACAGAGGTCGTAGACAATATACGCCGCTATTAAGCTGGTCGCGCAGGCAACCATCACAACCCTCTCCATCCACCACTGACGAGATCAGCGCGCTTCCTCCTACGACGTACTCTCTCGCGTGTTTTATCTCCTTTGGTCTATCTCTGTCTCACCGTAGTACACATCCGATCATACTGGATGTTTGGAACCTCAATTTTGACGTTTGAATGGTTTTCTTGCTCTTTTTTTCTACTTTCAGTTCATACTGTAGCTCACCCATCACTACGAAACACTCTTATACACCAGTTCCAGCCCGAGGCTGCCTTTAATGGCCCTTCATCAAGTACGCACAATGATGTTGTCAAATCGGACCACCCTCCAGCCATCGTGATCGCTGCCTTTGAGCTTATCTCCGGACCGGAGCAGCCGGAGACCGATAGCGATGCGAGCCTCCGGTGGACTTGACCAATAAGTGGAACAGCTTGCAAAACTTGGGCGTCCGGGTAGTCGTAGTAGCGCCCTTTCCTACGCGCAATTTTCGTGCCACTAATGGAATTTACTCACTCATATCACACGTGTTGCCACTTGACATCACTCCGACAACAGTGTTCTTTCGGTTGTGAGTTTGGAATAGTGGACCTCCGCTGTCGCCCTGAACATCGCTGAGCGTCAAACTCATATTCTAGGAGTATTTGATTCATAACACTTACGTTGCATACACCCACGTCTTCCGCAGTTGTAGTCTGAAGTAGATTAGTCTTCGTTATACCTAATAGTTCGACGTTTACCACTTGGTAACCATCGGTCTTAGCATCCTTTTCAGCTAAAAAACTCGCGCTAGTTATCCGCTTATTAGAAGAAAACTCATGAACGTACGAGATATCATTCCAGCTCCGGCTGCTTTTAGTTTTCGGGAAATTTCCGTAGATGTGTCGGGCATACAAATCGGTACTGCCACAGATTCAGGTACTTTCCAGTCCAATTCAATTATTGCTATATCGTTGAGCATAGAGCACTCATCAAAAGTATCTGGTACAGTAACCTAGACACACAAATGTATACACAACAAACAATGAGGTAATCTACGATTTGGTGGGAGGGGGGGGGGCATAGTCTGGATCTTGGTCGCCACTAGGGTGTCCTTCTGAAGATTACAACCACTGTAAGCTGCAAGTAATGCAGTTCACCTTCCAACCCTCCCTTCTCCGATGATAGTTGTGGTTACCTCATGAGTCTTAAAGGGTGGCTGGCGAAGCCAACAACCTAATCCGCTAATGTGCCTTTAAACCTGGCTGCACCAACTGGTCATGTTGGACAGACGACTTTGAGGTGGAGCTTCATGCTCAGAAGGTGGTCCATAAAGATCAAGGCGAAGGTGGTCAGTAGTGCAGGGATGAAAAAGAAACCATGAAAAACGACCCCGAGTCCGAGAAATAGGACCCTTTTCCGCATTGGGGCGGTCTCATAGTGCTGACGTCCAGCATGAACGCTCTGCTCTGCGTCTCTATCACTCGGCTAGTATCTGGGGCTAGAATCCGACGGCGAGTGTGTGGCGTAACCAGTGCGGTCCTGTTAGCCTGCTAGGGCCACACACATTCGTTGCTAAACGCGCATCGTCCCTCATTCACCTGCCTGTCTGCTAACCATAATCATATTTCTTTCTTCAAACTCTGACCTTATCGGGAACACTGCCAATCATGGAACGCTCCCAAGATAGTGCCCCCTACACAACTGTTTTTGGGGCGGCGCTACGGTTCCATCTGGCCAGGTGCCAGCTAATGCGTTCCAGGCACTGGCTACGGAAACGCATGTTGGTCATTCGTTGCGAAAATTATTCCGTCATAAAAAGAATTTCCTAAAGCCGCGAGCCATAGCTCTGTGTCGATGTAGGGACATTTGGCTTCACGGCAACGAGCGCCAATTGTGAGCGTGTACTTGTCTTTTGCGGCGAGGAGTTTGCCCTTATTACTGAAAAGCGGTTCAGAATTTGCTATTCAACTAATGCACTGAACTGATGTGCAAATAGAGCCTCAGTACGTGTATCCGATTTCCTTGCAGTGCTCCTGGTCCGTCACTTCGTCACTCATAGTTTCTCTCACGCAATGAGCTCCTGTTAGTACGTGACGGTTGGATATAAGGGCTCCACTGCATATAACACCTGAAATATGAATAAGAACATTTTTTGAACGCCTATTGATGGTACCGCTATGACGACAGACCCTGGAAATAACCTAAGATAATGCTCGGTTGAAGATACCGGTGCGAGCATTATTTATTTATTTATTTATTTATTTATTTATTTATTTATTTATTTATTTATTTATTTATTTATTTATTTATTTATTTATTTATTTATTTATTTATTTATTTATTATTTATTTATATTTATTTATTATTTTGTTTGCAATTTGTTTATTGATTATTCAGCAAAAACGTTCAGAAGTGAATGTGCCCCTCCACAAATTCACAGAGCAGAAGTTCGGAGTATGGTAAAAATATATTTTTAACCATTTCATGAGCAGCTTGAGAGTGAAAATCTGATTCCATTCATGTCCTGCATAAAAAACTTCTTGAACGTTCGAATCCTCTCCTTCCGGATGGCAGAAAGCATGTTGCATCTTCCCGTTGATCATCGAATTGCTCGAGCGGGCGCCAGCAACGTCTCCCTTGCTGTCGTCAGTATCGCGTGCAAGAAGTCCAGTGGACCCTCCTTGCTCGAGGGACACGAAGTCCTTCATTCCTTTCGAGCTTTCGTGAAGAAGTCTGACCATCGGGCCGGCGGTCGTCCAGGTGTTCGTTTGACGTCCCGAGGGATCCAGTCGGTAACCGCTCTGGTCCAACGGTCATCGCAAAATCGCATGACGTGTCCGGCCCACCTTATCTTCGATTCCTTGGCGAAAACGGCAGCGTCCCTGATCTTCGATCGTTGGCGTAGTTCGAAACTCCGGATTTACTTACGCAATTGCGTGTAGAGGGTACCTCCAAGACCAGTATCGTAAAACTCGGTACTGATCCTGGATTCGTGGCTCCAGAAGTAATTTTCTTCTACCAGTAATCGGTAAATCCTCGATTTGTATCCAACCCAAGCAGAATCTTGCTCTGACCATTCGATGATATTTGTTGTATCTATCAAGCGGTCCGCTACCCAAACGATCATGCCGGACAGACATAAAATGAGGACAGTTTTCAGTCTAGAAATGCTTTAGGCAACTTCGCGTCGTTAAACTTCAGTACGTTCCCCCTCCCCCAATGGGTTCAGTTCCACGAAATTAGGTGATGTCCGGATAAAAGTGAAGTACAATACTACTGAAGGTGCAAATGATCAAGGGGAAAATACAAACAAATTTTTTGCTGACTTCTAATTCCCTTACCTGTCCCTTCGACATAGATGGACACAACCCATGGAAATTCGTTTTGGCGGACATGCCGTCCTCCAAAAGACAATGCCATGCTCCGTCCTGAAATACGGTCGCTGCAGTCGAGAGCACAACTAATAAAAATAGTATTAGGTCGGTCAAAAAGTATCCGCCGTTTTGACCCCCTAATTTTGAAGCACCACAACTTTGCTGAAACACAATCTTTTTGTTCGAAATAAAAACTGCTATGTCCAGCAGACCCATGCTAAGAACTTCCCTTCCTATAGATCTTTAATTTATTATAGGCTAAAAGCTGTAGGAAGGCGCATTTGACATGCCTCAGTTCTCAACGCGATTTCTCCTCCAAGAATTATGTTGAAAAGCGGGGAATTGGTGGTTCGTGAAAGATGTACCTGGCTATATAAAGGATAGCAAAAGAACTTCTGAGCCATTTCTGAATGGATTCTACAGAGCGTATTTTGCGGTGGGCGATTTAGCGCTATCGTGGTGAAGGACTGGACCTCATTTTTTCCTTGAAGCAGACTATCATCCCCGTCTTATGTTTTACCAGTTTAGCTCCGCACGCTACCGCGTGCATGGCATCGAAGGCTTCGGTGAAACTGGACAGTCGGTGGAGCGTCAAATTCCACCGGTACGAAATAAAATTCTTCGTGAAATGCGTTAGCTGACTGTCCGCTTGATACGCGCGGTGGAGTGCGGAGCTAAAGTGATGTCTGTAAACAACCACCATGCATCGAATGTCAAAATAATTTAGCGGTCGAACAATCTTTGATACTATGATGTTGGAATCTAAATACCCAGCACTCATTATCATGTTTCTTAAAACATCCATCGGACATTTTTTGGAACTCGGGGGAGTGTAGCGGCCGAATGGTAATTTTGCTGACAAAGAATGATATGGAAGTGAATTGCGCTATTTCAAATGTGTTTTTGACTTATCTCCACAGTCGTACACATATCGTTGTTATCAGTCCTTATTGGCCGTTATCACTTTCTGTCCCCCACCAAACATGTTCCCGTCCCACCCTGCACATCACTTCTGGAACCAACGCCCCACTGCTGCTGGGACGCGCGCTATGAATTTCGTGAAATTTGCGTTCTAGCGCCTCTTATCAATCTTATCAGTCGTTATCACTTTCTGTCCCCCACCAAATATGTTCCCGTCCCACCCTGTACATCACTTCTTGGAACCAACGCCCCACTGCTGCTGGGACGCGCGCTATGAATTTCGTGAAATTTGCGTTTCTAGCGCCTCTTATCAGCTCTTATCAGTCGTTATCACTTTCTGACCCCCACCAAATATGTTCCCGTCCCACCCCCTATATCATATCCCAAAATCAGCTCCTGACGACTGCTGCGACGCGTGCTATGAATTTCGTGACACACACACACACACACACACAGACATAGCGTTTTATATAGTAGGGATGTCGATCTTTCCACAGGGCTCCGGCCGGTGTCGAGTGATCAGATTCTCGACTTTTTAAAGGAGGCGAATATGCGAAAAGGAACATCGCTTTTTCGCATATTTCGCGTCATTTAAACGGTCGGAATTGGATGCACTCGAGGCATTTTGACTATTCGAATTCCATCAAAGCGACTCGAAAATTGAGGACTCTTACTGGGGCGTCCAGGTTTATGCGCGATCCACAGGCGTGGGTTTCGTTATTTTGGTACCCTTTCACTGTTAGCGTGCAGAAGCATAGTCTTACCCCACACTATTACCCATCTTGAAAACTGTTCCTTACTGTTGCAAGGAAGAGTCCAAGCACACACCTCCACGCGCGTCGCAACTGCTAAAGCTGCCAGCACGGGTTACTCGATGAATAGATTGACGATATTTTTCTGTTTCTTACTGCGTCCACCAGGCTGAGTTCTGTGCGCTAAGGACCCAACCTCTGATACCACACCTGTAGTTGGGTATCAGTGATAAGCTTCTTTCATTTCTTTTTTACAATCCCGTACATTGAGGGCACTCCTTATACTACGCGCATCACTTTCGAGCTTTATTTCTCCAGGCCCAAGCCTGCCGAGCTAATCTTGCGCTATGCGTTTCCTAGCAGCACTCCTTCTCAATGCAGTCGCCATATTACGAGCTGGCCCTGGCGTGTCTATTCCAAGTTTGAAGACATGAAGTGGCAACAATCGAAAATCACGATTTTGCTTATCTAAAAAAAGAGGGTAAAACGACAAATGTTCTCGGAATCACTTCGAACCTTCGTAGGTGAATATGAAAAGGGCTGAGCTTCCTTCTAAGTTTTGTTTGATATGGCTTCGCGAAAGAAACGATCAACTGCAGGGGCTAATTCGAGGTGCGAAAGCTCCACTAAGTTCTGCGTTAATGGGCCCGGTTGTGTAGTGGAGGTTGTTAAGGGCTTGCGAATCCAGAAGTGGCCCGGAGGGAGCTCTTCGGAGCCTCGCTTCCCCCCCCCCTACGCACCAATATTTATTTCTTCATGACATGCAACGCCGCCATATCCGGGAATTAGCGGTAAGATTCTGGAGTGCTAAAACCAGACACCACCGGCAGATGTTTCCTCTCTTAGCGTAATCTCCTGCTGAGCTGCAAATGACTGCCACCTATCCTAAACCTTGAATCATCACCTTGATGGTGAAATAATTAGACGATCAA